CAGCCAACAGTCCTGAGTCCTGTAGCCCACTTGTCACCAGATGTCCAGGAACTAGAACACTAGTGAGGTGTTGACCTGGGCAATGACTGATCTGGTATGGGTTTCTGTAAATTACATCTCACCATATTGTTTATGCAAGAGGCACTCGTTGTTTGGCTCCTCTGATGAGACCTATCCAGTATGGTTGAACCTCTGGCACAGCTCTTATCCTCCTCGGAGCATACAAGCCCCACAACCACTTCCAGGTAGTGCCTCACTGGGGGTTGTTGTTGTTGTTATTATTATTATTATTTAAATTTATTGGCTGCCCAATTCCAATAGACTCTCACTTTTCCCCTCTCCCATCTTTTCCACAATTTCAATTAAATGCCTTGAAGGGATCAGCGGTGTTAAAATCAAATAGAGTGAAAATGTCTCCTTCAAGTAATGGGAGTCGTAATCCAGAAGGTCAAGGTTTCATACTATCCTGTTTTATCCAGGTGGGGAAATCTGTTCTGCAGAGAGTTCCATCCGAGAGTAGAAAATCTCAGTGAAGCTTGCCTTTCTTATGAATCATTTATTTCCCTTAAAAAGTTTTCCCCAAGAAGGTGCCTCCGCATGGGTTGGATTTCAATTCTCAAAATTCCCAGCCAGCTAGACCATTTGCACACCAGGTTAGGGAAGGCCATCCTCAAATGTAGTACATGAGTATATCCATTTCAGCCCACTGTCCTGTTGTGTAAGTCTTCTGACCGAGTTTGTGTACAAAGCCCATTTGGCATCAGGGAGGCATTATGCAAACATCTCTCCTCACCTGCTGGGTCTTGCACCATTATCTGAAACTTATGAAATGTTTAGACAGAATCAGCAATTGCTTAAAAAGCTCCCTGATTTTCAAGTTGCAAACAAAAGGCCTTGCAAAATGCCTCCTCTATCCATTTCCATGGGAATAAATGGGAGCTATACATTTATTTTTGTTTGTTAGATTTGTTAGATCCTATGTTTTCCCTAGAAGCTCAAGCTGGCTTACATGGGGATCTCCCTTCAGCCCTGGGAGGTAGGCAGAGCTGAGACAGACTGACTGACATGAAGTCATCCAGTGAGTTTCCACAGATGAGGGTGGACTTGAACTTGTACCCTCCCAAATCCTAGGGCTCTTCCACACACCCTCTTTGTCCCAGCTCAAAGAACAAAACCTCCTATGTGAATAGTATATATTGCATAGAAGAAAAGTCTCTGAAGAGTCAATAACCTGTTGGGCTCCAAATGGCTGGCCGCAGGACCAACCAACCCCTCCCATCTGGCTGGAGGACCCTGTACTTCCATGGCCAGTTTTGCTGTGGCTACCAGAGGTACCTCATCAGCACAACCCATATCTGGGTTTTGTTTTTGTCTTGTTCATGGCAATTCGACAAGGCAATACTGCCTTGTGGAATTTCAACCATACATATACCATACGTATACCAGGAGGACAATATTCCCATCAGCACGTAAATCAGTCTCCCACAGAAGAAATTATTTGCATTCCTTTAGAACAGCAACCAGCAATCTTCTCCTTCCTGCCACCCTTCCTGCTCTCTTTTCTCTTACTTTTGCCAGTTTAGCCCTCAAAAGACAACCTAGGAAGAAAAGCAGGAAGCAAAGCAAAGTAACAGGGTTCTTCTGACTTTCTTGCTCCATCACAATCCTACTCATCTATCCCCCATCCTCCTCACCAACATTTGACAGACTTACCCCATGTGCCATTAGCCAGGCATTCAGCCAACCCTGCAGAAGATTGGTTCTCCTGGGCTGGGAAAAAGAACCAGGGGACAATCTCTCCTGCTGCAAATGCTGAGATTAAAGGAAGAAGGAAGGCGGTGGAGGGAGGGGCTTTCCACACATCACATGCACCAAGAGAAGAAGGCGCTGCTGCTTTTTCCCAGCCCAGAAAATGAATTGCTGCCCGGAATGTAAACTGCCTGACTTTCTGCACAGGCAGCAACACCACCAGACTTGTTGAAGTGGAGGAAGTGGCAGGCCATGGGTTCTTAAAGCAACAGACTTTCCAACAGACTTTCTAAAGGATGGGAGGAAAGCACGTCAACATGGATGTGTGATATGCTCCTTATCCAACAGTGGGGCCACTAGCTAGCCATAGTACAGCTACACTGTATTGGGTGCCCCAGTATCTTAGTAACTTGTCCCTTTTCAAGGAGCTCAGGACAACTTTTTAGCATCACAATAACCTGTGAACTTGAACCAAAATGACAGCCCCATTTCTAGTTGCACAACAATGAGAAGCTGGGGTTCAATACTCAAGCCAAAGCCAAAATCAGGGGCCCTTGTTATTCCCAGCAGTTCTTTCCCAGTTTAAAACCACAGCTAATAAACTGTTAACAACAAGATCTTGACTCTATGGATACTGGAAGGTTAGCTTCTAGAGCAGTGTTTCTCAACCTTGGCCACTTTAAGATGTGAGGACTTCAACTCCCACTTTAAGATGCGAGTTTAAGTCCACCCATCTTAAAGTGGCCAAGGTTGAGAAACACTGCTCTAGAGCCTACAATCATCCTCTTCCCCTTACAAGCAGTTGCTCCCTCTTTTCCCATAGCAGATTTACATGTGATGTCCTTGTATTGGTTCCACATTTTCCCCATTTGGTTCCAGGAGTCCTCCTAGCTTATCCTGTTCATAGCAGTCCAGGCGGCTTTGAAGCAGCAACCACCCTTGTTCTTCAAAGCTACTCACCTGGCTGGGATAGAGTTTTCTCAAATTCTCAGTCATGCCCCTAGAAGCAGACTGCTCAGTTTGTTCCAACCTCCATATGGCACAAGTAGCATCCAGTGGTGTGATCAGGAGGCTCCTCCACTGAGATTGTGAAGGAGCTGTACAGGACATACTGTAGATGCCAGCAAGAACTATGTGGCTTGAGTGGAACTGTGTCTTCCATTACTGGCCACCCAAGTCACTCCTAAAAAGAAGCCCTCACAACAAGGCTGGGTAGAGCCTCATGATAGGGATAATCCAGCAAGATCTGCCACAACCAAGAGGAGGAACGATCAAACACAGGTACACTGTGGAGATTACCTATCCCTAACCCTTAAAAAAAACATAGTTTATACATACACTGCCATTGTTGCAAATATGGCTGAAGTCATAGAGATATAACTTTAATGTAACTATTCATGTCTGGTTTCTATCCATCATGGATACATGAAACTGCAGAATATCAGACCATGGATAATGAGAGGCATATATACACAAAACAATTTACCAAAGCACACAGATGTACAAGCTAAAAAAAATCTACTTTACAATGTTTTTCTATAGAAAAAAATTACTTTCTAAAAATGCAAAGGAAATTATCAAAAATCAATTAATAATGTAAAGAAACAAAGGGTAATATAAAGACTGAACACCATACCATTCAAAATGGTCAGATACAAATTTGTAGCTCACTTTTTCAGTGAACTACCCCTGTAAAATATGTATTTACATGCCACATGTGTGATCGTGGATAAGAACAATCACACACAGCCTTTGAGAATTCTAAAATTAGCATGTCAACAATTCCAGCTTGGAGTGTGCTTCTGTTCTTTTCTTAAGGCAAGGAAAGAATACACTGCTGCATTATCATAGCTTAAGCAATTTGCAAGAATTCCAATACAACTCACTTCCAAGTAAAGTTTTAAATCTGCTGGAACACAACATTCATTAACTGCATTGTGTTGATTTTCTGCTGAATAAAATACTTAGTTCTGTTACTTCTGAATATAAGAAAAACTTCAGAAAAGGTTAAATTAGCTCCTACAGCAAATGGCAACACCTAGCCAACCTTTGCTAATCTCTGGTGAGTACGTGAATGGGAGACCACTAAGAAATCCCATGGCTGGGAAGAAGACAGTGACAAGCAAGTTTCATATTATTGCTAAGAAAACTATGTGGGCCTGTCCATATAATCACTAGAAGTCACTTCAAGAGAATCTTTAGTTAAGATTAACACAGAATGGTTTTTTTTTTTTTGGTTGATGAGCATGGATTAAATATAGATCAAGCCTCCATTTATGACACCAGTCCTTAGTGATACTTTCGACATGTATTCAACATTATCTCCAGCCAGCCATCATCAGCAACTCCCCCCCCCCCCATGTAGATATGTAAGTTCTTCTGTAAATATAGTAAGATTAATTCTTTGCAATGAAGATTTTAATGAGTCACCCCAAATGATGAACAAATTCTGATTTGAGATCTGGTGAAACAAAGTATCTCATAAGGGACCAACAGAAAGATATTCCTCCCATGCAGAACAGTATTTTTATTAAATAAAAGGATTATATATTTTAACTTACACATAGCAAACATTCCTGGTAAATTAGTTTAATCACAACTAAATATTGCCAGGTTTGTTGCTTATAGATTCAGTTGCTACTGAGGCAGTTTTGTTAATAACTGGAAAGACATAGTTGAAAGCGGGGGCATCCACAGGGTATGGCCAAAAAAGTCAAGATGGCTGCCATGATGGTTAGATCAAAGCTCTGCCCATTGTTTATGTACACCACCCGTTTTTTATGTGCAGACACCCTTGACTGACAGGCAAACTAACATCTGGACAATCAACTAGAATTGAACTTACCATATGCAGCACATCACTGCTCATCTTCACAACAAAGCCCTGGAATAGCTCCTCAAATATATGTAGGATTTTGGTCATATAGCCACGCTTGGCTGCTCTGGCTTGCAAACGCTTGACTGTTTGTGAGGTTTGGGATTTAAGGGTTTCCTCCTTAAGCACCACAATATAATGTCCGGATAAGCGCCATGCCTCCTGTGTTTAAACAAGAAGAAGCAGAAAATGGGTTGGAGGGCAATCAAACTTGGATGACCTAAAAACGTCTGTTGGTAAAATGTAATAACCAAGGGGATGCATTGATTTAAAAAGACTCTTCCATATGTGTTGAATTTCAAGTCCCGTAATCCCTCAATTGGTCATTTAGCGGAAGGATTATGGAAGTTGAAGTTCACTTCAGTTGTATCAGTTATAAGTAGAACTTTATAAAGAAAACAGACACTTTACTCCCTGTATTTTTGAACAGAACAATTGGTGCTAAACTGCATGGTTTGGGCCAGTTCCACATCTGAATGAATGAAATGTCCAGAAAAGTCATTCTAGAAAAGTAGTTTCTTCTCCTGAATTGCTGTGTGGTGTAATCTTACTCACTGACACTATTACACTCCATACTCATTTTTCCTATTTATCAAAGGTTGGTAAAGAAAATATTTCCAAGATTTCATATCCTTAAAACTGTGGCTGAATCAAGATAGTACTCCAAATCCCACACTATCCCTAGTTATACACTGAATACTGTATATTCACTTCTCTGCCAATTCATCTGAGGAATGCATGGATTTCACATTGCATTCGAATAACACATTCATCAACTGCTATCCTGGTTTAACATTCCTTCTGTCTGAATGTACTTCGTTACTTGGCTTTGTTTATGGAAAGAAGGCTGTGCCATGCCTTGAAGAAACTGAAGGGAAGAGCAATCAAACAATGCTGCTTTGGCACTGATGATGGGAGAAGAGACAAATATTTGGCAATTTCCAAATCACTCCACCCATGCCAACTGAAGGGACAAATGTTGGATGAGGCTGGAGGAGAGGTGGGTTTTCACCCTTGACTAGACTGGCTTGGCTAGACTGCAGCCATCAGTCAAGACTCATTCTGGTTTTGCACAAGTGTTTTTCATGTGGAGCTGGCCATCAGCTGATACTTGGGATGGTTTTGGACCCAGGTTTAGTGCTCTTGCAGAAGACCACTAAAGCTCAATTCAAACGAACAAGAGTTTTGTGCTATTCCAGAAGAGCTCTAAAGTCATGCTTAACAGCAGCTCAGCAACAACTAACAGACACTGACTGTGCCACAGAGCATCAAAGAGACAGCTCTCTCTCCCACATCATCTCACAGCTCCCCACCACCACTGCTGATTAGATGCTGTTCAGACCGATTCTGGTCTCAGAGTAGGAGTCAGCTTGGAGACCTGGCAGATACAGAGGGGGAGCCCAGCTAAAAATAACCAGACCCTCCTACAGCCCAAACAAGAATGGCTCTGCAATCATCTGATTTTCCTTCAAAATAATGTTTGACTAAGCCTAGCAGATTTTACACAATTTGTGGGACCCTGAGGATAGTATTGGAGTAAGGGGAAAATACTACTTTAACACTGTATCACAAAGGACAACTTAAGCCTCATGGGCCAGATGCTGTCAGGCATGTTTGTGCCATTGTTAGGTGCAAAGGGGAAAATGCCCTCTGTCTCAAAGAAGAAATAAGGTGCCCCTGCATCTAGAAACCCCATTGTCGCTTGCTTGCCAGTCCTTTTCAGTTAAACAATGAAATATCCCTCACCAATATTGAACTGCAGCTCTAGGAGTCCAGGAAGCATCCCCAGAAATGTCAGCTAGAATTTCTCTGGTGCGCCCTGAGGCAACTAAGTCACCCTCCACAACACATCATTATTTTACAGTCCTTCTCTCTCTGGCTGGTGCTATCAGTGCCTGGAATCAAATGCTCAGACTAAATGCATTCCAAGCAAGCAGCCAAGGCTCAGAGGTGCCCTAAAGACAAATCAAGAGAATAGAACATTGTGTGGTTGGTAATTGTTCCCTCTATCCAAACCAATGTATTTCCTGGATGGCACAGATTAACTCATATGCAAGAGTTGCTTTTTAATTAAGGGTTGCCTGAGAACTCATAAGATACCACAGGGACTTTCAGGAGTTTTGGGTTCTTTAAGCAAAATGCTACAGGAATACACTTGTTGGAAAACAGCTAGAACATGATACTTTGTCACTCCCTACCCCTCACCCGCAATTCTCAGCAAGGAAAGGTTATGGGAGTTTTAGCCCATCACATCAGAAGGACATCAGGTTGGGGAAAGTTCTCTTAGGTCATATATGGCCAAAATGACTGGTGTCTGGCCAACTTTTTAAAAGGAAAGTTTGTGTTGCTGCAAGAACATCACACTGCTGATGTGCTTTATTCTAAAGCAATGTTTCTCAACCTCAGCAACTTTTAAGATT